ATGCAAATTAGCATTGTTTGGCTGAACATTTTGGTGTTTGAATAGAAAATGTTAATATTCTTGCTGTTTGGTTTTGACGATAAACTTTAACTGGAAGTGAGAAAGATTATGGGCGGGTCTCAGATCATGAAGCTAGCAGACCTTGACATGCAAATTAGCATTGTTTGGCTGAACATTTTGGTGTTTGAATAGAAAATGTTAATATTCTTGCTGTTTGGTTTTGATGGTAAACTTCAACTGTAAGTGAGAAAGATCATGGGCGGGTCTCAGAATGTTTCCTTCACCAAAAAAAAAAAAAAACAAAAAAAGTGTGTTTCGTTGTATTGTACATAGCAAGATAAGAAGGCTAAACTCGGTCAAAGGGAAATGTTTCTTCAACAAAGCAAGTACATTCAATTCAGGCCTCCGTTTTGGTTGCTTGATGTAAGCACGGAAAATTTCTAAAGGCTAACCATCATGTGCTGCCCCAAAATAGGTCAATTTGATATCTCAGTTACTCTTAAAATTCATGTTGTCACTTTAATAGACGGCTCGCAGCGCTATGAAGAAAACTAGCTGGTAGCGCGAGTTTTCCGAAATGGCCAGTGTTGCAATAATAATAATAAAAAATAAAAAAGCAAATTTCTATCGGCTAACCATCATGTGCTGCCCCAAAATCGTTCATTTTGATATCTCAGTTGCTCTTAAAACGTATGCTGTCACTTTCATAGATGGCTCGCAGAGCTATGAAAAAAACTAGCCGGTAGCGCGAGTTTTCCGAAATGGCCAGTGTTGCAAAACGAGCAGGCAGCTAGCTACCTGCAGAGGCTAATCGCACGGCACCTAACGCCACACTGTCACGAATACGCGAATAGATTTTATTTCAAAAATAGAACGATTTTAAAGTCATCATCTTAGGATTGTTCTCAACCAAGAAGCGACGATACCGGACAGACTGAGAAGTTGAGGGCCACCAAGTACGACATGCTATCAACCAACCCCGATGCTAGTTGCGTCGTAGTAGCGGTCATTTCTTGTGCCAAAAAGGATTGTGGTGGTGGATGGTGAATGGATATTCCTGAAACGATTGCTTTGCCGCTAAGCTAATAATGGCTTTTAGCGCAAGCGCATGCTAAATGGGACGTGCGTTCAGGTTGCTAAGTCGTTTTTGTCATCTCGAGGCAGATTGAAACGATTGCTTTGCCGCTAAGTTAATAATGGCGTTAGCGCAAGCGCATGCTAAATGGGACGTGCGTTCAGGTTGCTAAGTCGTTTTTGTCATCTCGAGGCAGAGCAAGTTGAACAGAATGGTCAAAAATCTGTCCCTGAAAGGGTTAAAACAGTCCTTTTTCCTTCTCTGTCCTCGTTTTTGTTACTTGAGTTGATTTCCCCGTTCCCATCTTTGACTACTTGGCCTCCATTTCGGCATTCACCATAATGATCCCCCCTCGTTCCATCCCATAATAGTTTTGTTTTTTTTCCCCTTCCTTTTGTCTGTGTGCTTCCTCGAGACTTTGCCCCCCCCCCCCCTTCACTCTCAAATTGTCTTTTGGCTCCTATTAAAAGTTTCCCTCTTGTTGTTGTCTTCTTATGTTTCTCTTTCCACTCACGGTGGCCGCTTATGCTGTGATGTAGCCCCCCCGCCCCCACTCTCCATCCCTCATCTTTGCCTGTCGACGTAAAAAGGGGAACATTTTTTTATTATTCTTTTTTTTTAAATCCCACGCAGTGATGTGGAGTGCAATCGCGGGGCACGAGCGAGCGGAATGAAAGGAAACGCCAATGTTGTTTAGCGGCAAATAAAAGCAGCGAACAGGCGTGAAGGAAGTGCAAAGTCAATGCCGTTGTGCGCCCGAGCTGCGAATCGATATGTTCTACCGTCGCGTGATTTAATTTGACCTCTCTTTGGATTCAAACCCGCAGCTGTAAACAACAATATTGGTTGCCGCGTAAAGAGCTTTTGAAATATCGGGTGGTTGCGCCCCGTAAATACGGAGCGGTGGGAATGACTTTTGTATGTGTGTGTGTGTGTGTGTGTGTGTGTGTGTGTGTGTGTGTGTGTGTGGTATTGATCACTATTGGCCAGTCTATTGTCTTGATTTAGCTGCAAATTTACTGCAGCAGCAGTCGTGGCTTTAAAAGTTTGGAACCGTTTTTCTATTCATGAAACGGGATTCGTAAGGTCATCCCGATCACATATTTTTAATTCTGATTATTATTTTTTGCATCAGCAATGAAAAAAAAAAAAAGAAAATTGCATTCGAGTTGTCTCGTATTACAGTGAAACTCCTCTACAACGAAATCATGTTTGCAGCAAGAAGTTTTTCACAACAGGGGGGTTTTCACTGTAGCAAATTTGATCACAGATGTAAACAAACTCAGGGGTTTTTTTTCCGTTGTATGGGGGGGAGGGAAAGTGGGAATGGTGTGAATGCATGAAGATTTTTTTCACACTAGGGGTTATTTTTGCCCATGCAGGTTTCGTTGGAGAGGAATTTGACACAAATGCAATCCAAAAGCGTGTGGGGGGGAAAATTCCAGCTAGGACTCGTCGGGTGAGACGCATCGGAATTCTTTAACCCCTCCCCCCCTCCCCCGCCACCCCGCAGTGCTCCGTGGCGGTCCCCTCTTCCCAATTAGACCCTGAACCCGACTCGGCCTGTCCAATGGCCGAGTCACATTCCGGGCAATTAAAAGCAACAGCAAGTCAGCCTTCCTCCTCCTCGGAGCTCTGCCGGGCCTCGTACCAATTATTACATTTTTTTTATTTTATTTTTTTAAATGGGAAAGGACGGATGCTTCGAACTTCACGCCGATGTAAAACTAAAGAATGTGATTTTGCTCTCCTCAACAAAAACAGCGCGTCAATAATGTGAATCCTAATGTGTATTTAATGTAAAGCGAGCACGTGCATGTGTGCAATTAGCTAGCGGACCGAGGCGATCAATCACGCTCGCGCGACGGCTCCATGATTGCAACGCACGCACGTCGGGACGCGCGCCGCGAGCGCCGCGGCATTTTATTGTCACACAGATAAAGGTTGGCTTTCGTAAGGTCACACCGCTTCCTCGCGACGAGTCGATCGTTGCCTTTTTTAAAAGAGCAAATTTGGGATCGGAAATTTCCACACACGCACACACACGCCCCCCGATTTTGCCGGGCCTGGCGACGAGGCATTTCGAAAGGTCGCTTTCGTCTGAAGGGTCGCCGACAAGAGTGCAGTTGGCTGACATTTCTCAGTGTGGCGCAACATTAATTTCTTCGCCGCTAACGCCCAACTCGGCTCTCTTTGGAGGCTAAAGCTAGCTTCCATCCCGCGCCGCGTTGCCAACTCTGGCACTGTCGGTGCGACGTTTTTGGAATTTCCGTCGGAACGGCATCACCGCTCCGGTCGGCTCAGGTTCTTTTGACATCCATGAAAAATTCCAACTAAATTCTTTGAATCTCCGGCACAGGGAGTTAGCCGCCGTTCGCGGCCACGACTCTGCGGCGAGAAATCCAACGCAGGCCTATTTTTGTTGTTGTTTTTTTTGTCAAATCTAAAACACTGGAATAAAAAAAAAAAATAAAAAATCAAAGCGGAGCGTTTGCCCGGGTCGCTCGGACGCGTTTCCGCCACGCCTGTATTTCCCCTTTGAAATGGAGATGTGTCTATTTGCGCAGAGTGCGCGAGGACGAGCGAAACAGACGAGATGCTCATTAACGCACTCGAGCGCACCTGCGTTGTTTTACCACATTTTTTTTTTTTTTTTTTTTGGGGAGGTTATTTGCCATCTGCGCCCCCTGACGAAATTTGCATACTCTACCCAACAAATGACACGAGTACAACTGTCGTCTGTTTTTGTTCACGGCGGCTATAACAGGGCCTGGAAGCGCTGCGTGCACGCAACACACACACACACACACACACACACACACACACACACACACACACACACACAGTTTGTTTGTTTTTTTGTTTTTGTTTGCGACGGCCTTCACCCTGGGCGGGTTGAGCCGGCTTCTTCCTTGGCACGCACGCCGTCCCTGATCATGGCTGCCCAAGCGCGGCGATCCTGTGCCAGTTCAATCGACAGCCTCAGCCAGTCCTGCTTCCACCGTCGCAGTCCCACCACCTGAGGGGCCCGGAAAAGTACGCGAGGTCTTCATTCATCGTGGCGGCCCAGGTTTTGACTGGTCCACCACGCCGCTTGCGCCAGGCTGGCAAAGGAGCAGGAAGAGGAACATCCCCTGATCAGCTCGCCCTCCTGGTGGCGTGCCGCATGTCCGAGCCAACGGAGAATCGCTGCGATCGACTTACGCTTCTCCTTGCCCAAATAGCAACGGATTGAACTGACCTCGTTTCTCTCTCTCTCTTTCCAGATCCCGCAGATCAGCTACGCGTCCACGGCCCCCGAGCTGAGCGACAATACCCGCTACGACTTCTTCTCCCGCGTGGTGCCGCCGGACTCCTACCAGGCGCAGGCCATGATGGACATCGTGACGGCCATGGAGTGGAACTACGTGTCCACGCTGGCCTCGGAGGGCAACTACGGCGAGAGCGGCGTGGAGGCGTTTGTCCAGATCTCCCGAGAAACCGGTAGGGAACCGCGATTGGCCCGTCGGGCGATGGTTTTTGCATTCCGGGTCAAAGTCGATCCGCTCGACGCATATTTGCTGTGGAGCTTGAAGGGTTGTCACACAAAAAAAGGATGCGATCGAAATGCCGTTTGAAGTTGTCGATTTTCAACCAAAACTTGGAGCTTTTAGAATCACTTGGGAGGCGTTCTTGATGATTCAAGTTTGAAGTCCCTGTCAAGTGAAAAGAAATGTTG